GTTTTCTGTTCTGATGAGTTAGTTTTTTGGTCCGATGCGGTGGATTTTTGTTCTGCTGAGGTAGATTTCTGTTCTGATGAGGAGGATTTTTGTTCTGATGAGATGGAGTTTTGTTCTGATGAGTTAGTTTTTTGGTCCGATGCGGTGGATTTTTGTTCTGCTGAGGTAGATTTCTGTTCTGATGAGGAGGATTTTTGTTCTGATGAGATGGAGTTTTGTTCTGATGAGTTAGTTTTTTGTTCTGATGAGGCGGATTTTTGTTCTGATGGGGCGGATTTTTGTTCTGATGGGGCGGATTTTTGTTTTGAAGAATTAGGTAAAATTGATTTTAAGGAACTGAAAACTGAGGATGATGTTTTGAGAAACATTTTCTTTTAATGAATGTCAATAGTTTTCTAAAAATCTAATTAGCAATTGCTTTTTGCTTTTTTGGTTACAACGAGTAAAGAGACCAACTTGCTCTATTTATATTGCACGAGTTTATAATATTCTCTTATCGTTATGAAAATTCCGGAATTTAAAGACCTTCCACGCGTATGAACGTGCATAAATTTTAAATTAGTTCTTGGCAATTGCAGTATACGTATATACAGTAGTTATAGAGTTACAGCATATATAGTTGCGGCGTCTTATGGGCGATCCTGATTGATTGGTGTTTTATTATAACCAGTATATGAAATGAAATTAATATATACTGTAAACGCCATAAAATTAATTGGTTTATTTTGTAATAAGGCATTGGACAATATTAAATTGAATTTAATGAAGCGTAAATCCTAGTCTCTACTTTTTTACGGTAATAGTAAATATGTATGCATGTATAAAGTTTTTTTTTAGACGAAGCCTATTTAAAACGTTATCACCTTAACTATTAGACAATGCATCTTCAGTTATTAAAGGTATAGATCGATAATCACCTTAAAAAGCTTTGTGAGTACCTAATTCAAAAAGTCCATGTGAAATTTGTGATATTGTTCATATTTGATTTTGAACATTAAAAATACGAATTTGCAGATATATGCATAAGAATAGAAATGATCATCGGCGTTTGGTACTATTTTGTATTATAAAGGTCTTACAGAATTGAAACGATATTCTGCGCATGCTAATTAGTGCAGCTCAAAAACAGCACTGCTCTGATTATGCACTCAAAATTCTTTTGCACACTGAACGGTTGTTGCATGTACTATCTATTCGAAAACAAAGACTTAATAAATTGAAAAATAATTACTATATAAAATTACTAAAATAAACAATTTTTAATAAATTAACTTTAAATACTAATTTAGGTAAACTTTATATTTTGTGATTATAGCTATGGATATTTTTTAAACATGTTCAGGGATTGTGTGATACAGAGTGAAAGTAATGTGATTACTAGTAGTAACTAGTGTCGGTGTGATGCATCACTACCACACCCAAACCTTATAATTGGTCAATCAAAGAGGTAGTCACTAGCGACAAATTATAATTATCATAAATAAATTAAGAACATTATTTTTAGGAAAAATTTTATTCGTAGATTTTGCCAGATTTCATTGGGTAGTTGTAATTAAACCCAGCGAATTGAAACAAAACAGCCGGGTATTCACGGATCCGACACTATGTGATCAACATTCATTTTACCGATTAATTTAGTATCGGTATGACAATTAAATATGAAAAAAAATATGTTTATACGTAACAGCTGTTACATGCAACAGACAAGCAATTAGTTTAATTTTAATGATTGGTTAGACATACTTTCGTTGGTTGTACTAAGTAAGCTCTTATATAACAGCCTGTTACAAATAGATTTGTCCTATCTGAAATTATCACATTAAGTGGGTTTTCGATAAAATAATGGGGAAATTACAAATAAGGGCCCAAAATAATTTTACGCTTAAAAACCCGTGATTGATGACTCGAATATGACATTAATATAGTC